ATGTTGATGTAAAGCACTTTGTGATACATCGTTGTATGAAAAGTGCTATACAAATAAAGTTTGATTGATTGATACAACACTTGGGGGTATTTTCTCTGAATATGTGGCAATCTCTCTAATACTAAGTATCTTAAAATTGAAATGTAATTGACCTGCTCCAGAGGAGACAATGATATTAAAAACAATGGGATGCGTTTTTCATGTGTTGGTGGGGGGCTTTTTATGAGGAACTAATTATGAACTGTTTTTTTTTTAAATCTAGACAGGATTTTCTTTAAAAGGTTTTTACATTTTCCACAGTTATTATTTGCGCTTAATATTACACACCATTAAAACACCTATGCAAAGAAATAAAAGTGTTTAATTTGAGACAGATCAAAAGGACTTGCAACAAATACTAAGTCATGTTTATGAGTTCAATAAAGACTAAACACACCTCACATCAACACTGCAGCTGAAATGATTGATGTCGTAAAGACACATTAAATTTAATATTCTAAAATCCCCATGTGGTATCTCAGGAAAACCTGTCAACAACAGAGTTTTATAATTTTAATCAGGTTTTTATATTTATTATTATATTTACTGAGATGGAAAGAGAAACTGAATAGCATGGTGTACACTCCCACTTTCATGCCTGCTGCATCTTTCCCTCCGATGCCTACTTCCACATATTAACAGCATCAACGTCATCTTGGCTTTTAAACGAAACACTTTTAATAAAATAAAAAGCAACATTAATCTACCCAAAGAAGAAGAAGGAGCTACTTAAGCTAACTTAGCTCGCTAACATTGTAGCCAATTTAGTAAAAGATCCAAGTCTTTAAGGAAGCTGAGCAAAGTCGGAAAACAATTATAGACTAATTGTAGACTTGACAACACGTTGGTTATGTGTTTGTTTGTTGAAGTACAGCGACTTTGCTTCAGAGATTAACTGTTAAAGACACTTAGTTATGTTAGATGGAGCTAGCTAACATTAGCTGAGTAGGTGCAGCTGTCAGAGCTCTACTCACCAACTCGATATCTACCAAAGTCTCGCTTCTTGTGTAATTTGACGGATCCCTCCTGCTTGAATGTCGAGCTAGTCCATTTTATCGCTTCACATTTGTCGCTTACAGCAGGTATTCTCCTCGACTGTCGGGCTACGTGTTTATCAAAGGCTCGCTGATAGAAAGCCACCTCACATCCGGCCGACCATGTGACGCAACAACACTTCATCTCTGACACGTTACCTGTTTTCTGTCACTTCAAGCAGGTCCAAAGATACTTTTCACGACTTTTAAAATAAACTAAATATTTGCGTTGAATCGAATATGCTGTGTGTTTGTTTTTTTGCGAGCAAAAAGACACATTTTATTTCCAATTTAAAAAGTGATGCAGCTTTAGGAAGTTTACGGTAAATATAAACGTGGACCAATGGGAAGTTGTTCTGACAGCAGGCCTGTTTTACCTATCGTTTTAACCTATGGGTTTTACTCATTTTGCTTACACAGTCTATATGATGCAACATTTGATAGATTTATTATAAGACAATGACCAACGCAGCCTTTAAATGTATATTTTTTTCTGCATACTTGACACTCCAGATACAGACCTTATTTATTTTTCCAACTTTGGGCAAAAATACGATCACTAAAAATGTTACTCTATTTTCTTTTAATGTTTAGGATAAACGAGTAACACATTTATAGCTGTTTTTTCTCTTTCTTACCAACTAAACAACATAACCAATATTGTCTTTCATTGGTGGGCGGGGCTTCAGCTCCTCTTGTCTTCTGATTGGCTAGCTCCATCAACGATGTTGCCCTTTCAAAATAAAGGTTCTACTCGGTGCAGTCAACACTAATTATGTTGTGAAATATAGATGAACAGGAAGACAGCCGTGCGAAGCTCAGTTACGATCACAGACAGTGTCTGTGTTGCAAATTGCAAATTAAACAATTTTAATAAGATTTTAAATTTTAACTCTGCACTGTAACTTTTAACTCTTTATATATTTTTAATTTATTTATTTCAATTAATTTCATTTGAGTTATTTTTATTTGAACATATGTTCAGTTTTTTTTTTTTATGTTCTATTTTAATGTTTCTTTTCTTTCCTCTGTCATGATGCGTTTGATGTCTTGTGTAAAGCATTTTGACTTGCCTTGTTGTTGAAATGTACTATATAAATAAACTTGCCTTGCCTTAATTGATTATCATAATTTAATAATTTACTGTTGAGATCAGAAAAACCACCTGTTTTTTTTAATGCAAGGAAAAGCCAGTCCAATAATAGGTCATTAAGTGGCTTCCCCTCTTGATCTCAATGGCAGATCTGTATAGACATGGTGCACATGTGCATACAGTATAACCATGTTCTACAAGAATCATTGTTTCCAAAGACACTAATGTTTTCCATGTAGCTGAGTATAACTTGTTAGCATCCAAAAAATGGTCATTCATAATTAACAACTCTTATAAAAGTAATTTGCAAATCATTGCCTTTTAAAAATGGTTGGAATCCCCCTGCTTTAAGCCATTTGAAAATGACGTTTATAAAAAAGTTTTTATGAACGTATGACTTTACTCTTATAGGCTTTTTACGTAAATGTATAACTTTAAATGTCATAATGTTGCGACTTTAATCTTTTTTTTAGAAGATTTTTTTCTTCTATGTGGCACAAATATTCTGTCATACATCTGAGTGACCATCACATCATCAACCCCACTGTGGATGTAACCTACTGTGGACAGTAAAGTGCTCTCAAAAGACTCATTAGAACCAAACCATTAGTGACTCTCATTATGTTTGTACCTACTGTCTCTCTGTTAATGAACTTTATGAAGCTTTGGATGTGGAGTAGCCTAAAACTGTTTGTGATCAACTGAAGATCAACTGTACAAATATTTGATGATTGCTAAAAACATTACACAAAACATAATCATATTTAATGCAACAAAAACATTCACTTGCTGCAATTGTTTATTCACCTGCTGCAAAAATAATTTACCTGATACATTTTTAACGAGATTCTATTTTTTCCCCTGTTGCAAAATACATGTACCTGATGCACTGTCTTTATTTTGCTGGAGTTTGAGCTCCTTACTGAACAGCAAACAAGTAGAAGCAACAGTGGAAAAGTGAGCCAACTAGCTAAGTTAAGATAATGTTTTGAATCTACAAGCATTTCATGTTATGTTGTTCCCCTTAGGCTGCCCAAATGCTTTAAATGACCTTCAGTCAGCAGATTGGGCTCCTACCTTGAGCCTTAATGAGAAATGTAAGTCCATATCAGAGGACAATATTCCAGAGAGCAGATACAAAGAAGCACAAGAGGAGCAGGTGCTTTACTGGATGTCCACCAGTTAGCTTAGAGCCCTATGCCATCACTGACATGAACCTGACATCAACACAGTATTAATAAATTGTTTTGGCAGTGTAGCCATATTTGAATAACACAATAGTGATTCTGACAAAAAAAAAAGGGGCAACCTTTGATTTGGGCTTACACAATGTGATGAACTCACCTGGTTCAGTAAATACATCAATAATTCACAAAAATAATAAGATCCTTCTCCCATATGTTCTTTGCTGTTGCAGGATGCCAGGCACGTGTTACATTGGGTGACATTGAAAGGATGGAAGATGTTTTGTGGCACACCACAACAGAGCTGGCGAATTTTGAACTAAAGCTTTGGACACCCATTTTAACCTACAGTCATTCGAGCAGATTGATTCTGCCTGTGTCAAATATACTGAAAAAAAAATGAATGGTTAAAGGCTGCCTTGATCATTGTCATGATAAATATATCAAATGATATAGGCTACTGTAAACAAAAGAGTAAAAACATACCATCAAAACCAGCCTGACAACTTCCTATTGGTCCACGTTTGTATTTCCTGTAAACGTCCTAAAGCTGTATCACCTTTACCAGCTCGTATTCTGAGGATTTGATTCAATGCAAATATTTATTTTTTTGCTAAATTCTGCTGAGACTGAGACTACATCTTCTCTGATGCATTTCTCTGGTTCAAGGTCTGTAGCTCCACGGTTTCTTCGGCACAGGTTCAATCATGTATTTCATAAGGATCTCTGGCTCTCTATCTCAAATTTAAATTCAAATTCAGATTCAGAAGGGCTTTATAAGCATGGACAACATCTCTCAGGCTGTAACAGGATTGGCCTTATTTTGCTGCCTCTCTGAGCTGAGGGCAGCCAGCTGTGTCTGTCTCTATGTTCAGGTTGTGATCACTGAGTCTGCACATGGTTAATGTCTTTCACCACGCTCAGATAATCTACTACGCTCCACCGTCTGTTTAGAGCCAAATAACACTTCAGTTTGCTTTGACTTTTTGGTGTGCATGTCCAATAATTCATATACCTGTCTGTTTCTCTCTCTCTCTCTAATTTGATTGGTCCAGATGTTCTGAGGGCTGTCCTGAGGCCTGCTGCTGTTAGACGGTGTGAGCCTCCTGATCAGCTGGCTGAGGAGACTCACTGTTCTCCTCTTGGTAATGCACAACTTTGTGACGGTAGGAGATGGGGTCACTGCTTTTTAGTGTTCATAAACTTTGATTTCTCTTTTTTGGATTCTAATTAAAAGAGGGAATTGTCACAGCCATTGCTGGGGGTGTTTCTGAGGACTAGGATGCTTGTACAAATCTCTGTTTGCAGAGTCTACTGGGTGTTTGTCCCATTTATCAAAATCTTGTGGCATTGTGGTGAAGAGGCATGTAATCCTAAAGGCAAAGCTTTCGATATACCAGTTGATCTTCATCCAACCCTAACCTATAGTCCTGAGCTTTAGCTAAAAAATAAAACAGGATTGTGGATATAAATCCGTTTCCTAAGGAGGCTGGCTGGGCTCAGCCTTGAAGACAGGGTGAGGAGTTCATATTATGGAGAAAGCTTGTAGTCTGCTCTGTGGTTTGAGTGGTTAGTAGTACCACCAGGTATTCCCTGGGTGTTTGTATCTTGCTTAGTATTACTAGAACAAATTACAAAATAAAACCATAATTGTTACTGAATAACTGTTTTATTTCTTTTAGCTAGTGTCAATATTCTATGAACATATTGCCTTGTACATACACTGAAATTTAAAAATGCCTCAGAAAAAACACAGAGTGCACTGCTTGTAGTTAATAGAATTAGTATCTCTTACTTGCTCAAGAGTACAAATAAGAATCCATAATGCTGTCCATTGTCTGATCATATTCAACCAACTAGTGCTTTTCCAAAAGTTATACAGTTGAAAACGTTGTTAGCTTATGGTATATTAAACTATTACAGTGATTGATCTCCCATGTTAAAAACAGTTCGACATACACAACCATCTCTTAAAGGCAGTAGCTCAGTGTTCTTTTTTATCGTGTAGAAAAAGAAAGAATGTGTTATAACTTAGCCCAATGCGTCACAAATGTTTGTTCCTTTACAATGTGAATGTCTGACACTGAGATGATGTCAGAAATGTTTTCAGAGATTTGTCATTGGTACACAAGGCAGAGTACTGAAATATTGGCTTCGTTATCAACTAAACATACAAACAAAAATATTTGACAAAAGAATAAAAACTTGATGCAAAAAATAATTTTGGACTTGTATTAAAGTGTGACAAATGTGCCCTCAATAGTTCCTGTTGTACTTCGTCAAGCTGTACTGTGTTAATGCTGTTACTAATACTTTTCCCTCTCCTTTTTTTAGGTATATGCTTGTGATGTTACAACAGCTGAACAAATGGTTCAGACTGTTACATTTCCAGCCACAGTTCAATATCCTTTCCCAAAGTTAGGTGTAAACAGTTCAAAAAGTAAGAACAACTTAAATTACAAATCACAGAAGGGAAGAACAGAAAAATTAACAAAAATGTGGAAAGGATTTCCCCAAACTCCAACAAGGCCATCATTAGGACACAGAGGAGATTGGGTTGAGAGGTGAGCCCATTTGAGTTAGCACCTTGTCCAGCCACTGAAGGGGCCCGTGCAGGTGCACCTCAATCCAGCAGGGGGTGCTGGTGACATCCTGTCTGTGATACTCTGCACCCCAGCCCTGTGAGAAAACAGAAATTATGATAGGATGATGTTTGCCTGATAACAAAAAAATTATGAGACTTGTATTGCTGTGTCTAAGTTGTATCATTACCCTCTTAGAAGTTATTTCCTGGAAGCCTTACCTTGACAAAGCTCATCCTTATGGTACACATCTTGGTAAGCTCATAGACGGCCTCAAAGCCATGGTTGACTGATTGGGCCAACAGCTGAGCAAATTCTTGGTTGTTGAAAATCTTAAGGCTGCATCCACTGGGGATTTTGCAGACGGTTGTGGGATGAAAGCCATGGTGGTAATTACAGTTTCGGCTCTGGACAAAAATGCTGGTGTCACTGAGGCATTCTGCGTACACCTCCCCTCCCACATAGTACAGGTGCACTCCTAGTTAAAAGACATACAAATGATGGTCTGAGCATTAAAAGCGGCCTCTGTGAATGCCTACCAATGTACCTGTTGTGTTGTAACTGTTCGTCATACCTTTGCCAATGTGTCTGCGAGTATTCTCAATTGTAGAGTTACGGTTGACGTTTGACAGGAGTCCAAGGCAAAAGCGGTTCTTGTTGTTTGAAGGGTCAGTGAAGCCATCCACCAGTACGCTGGTTGATGATGCATGGTAAGCCTCACCTACACGATTGTTGAGTTCATAGTAGACAATCGAGCACCAGTGGCTTGGCTCCTCATACTCAACTGGTTGTACATCTGGGGGAAAGAAAACATGTGAACAAACATTTAAAATGGGTACTGCAGTCCAAATTCAAAATACTGGAGAGCGCTGTCTCCTCCCTAAAGTTGATGCTCACACAGGTTGCAGTGTCGTCAAAACTGAAGCTTCAGTGTTTAGCCAGCTCTGCATCGTTCTTGAAAACTTTCTGGGTTCTAACCTCTCCACATTTTTCAAAAGCATTTCCAACATTTCTCCCAGTTTGACCTTGTTTCTGCTCGTGGAGCTTTTTATAAAAATGCAGAGGCGTTTGAGGTCAGGTAATATCCGTTAAATCTGAACAAGTTCCCTTGCCTGCTTCAAATACTTCAACACCTGATGGTTTGCAGTTTGACCTGCAAACCGAGGCTTGTCCTAAACAGCTTTGTGAGAGTGCCTTAAAACCAACTACCTTCTCTGGTAAAAAACCAAACCAAGACCATTCAGGACCAGAGTCTGAAGTTAGAAGGAGGAAACACTGGCTGCTGCATTGTTCTCAGAGAAGCCAGAACTTCAACACAGCATGTTTTCTTAATGTCTGGTGATATAGTGAAGTTCTTTTATGATTTCATTCAGTAGATATCTGACATATTGCTCCTTTATTATGAGGGAGAGAAAACTGAGAGTTTGTATGCTTTGTATAGAGGCTATCAGGTACAATGGTAGCAATACAATTTAACCTGGTGAGATGCCATGGCAAAACCTGTGCTGGGAATTCTAGCATTACCAAGCAGCAGACCTGCATATTTAACACTTTATTAAAGCAACAACTTAGCTATGTCTATTGTTACCAGGGCATCTGTAGCCTGTTGTATTTCTTAAATACCATACTGTGTAGATGTGTGATGGCTTTCATGACATGGTGAATATATTTGAGTGAGCTACAAGATGTGCCATGTGTGTGTTAAAAAACTAACTGAAAACAAGAACTGCCAAAGGGGCGAGGGAGAACAATGAATTAGTCATTTCATCATTAGAAATCCTGCAGCATTTCAATAATCGCTCACTCAATGTTTCATTTGTCTACCCTTCAACAGTTTTGAATGAAACTCAGTGTGTATGTTCAGGAAATAAACAAAGACGTCTCCAGTCAGTTTCAACAGGATTGATCAAAGGCATCTTGAATATGAATGAACGACTGATTAAAACAAGATAATAAAAACATACAAAACAAAAGTAAGAGTGTCCGAATAGAAGCAGGTAGAAGTAAAACGTATACATCCCTGACCCTTTCTAACTCTTTTATTAGTTCATATATTATTCCAACAAATGCTTAAATGGATTTACAACTTATATTCATACTTATAAAAGTGTCCCCTGTTTATTTTCCAACTTAAATAAATAACAATCCCAGTGTATTAACAGTCCTAATATCCACCCAGAGTGACAAATTAAATAGGAACACCCCTAAAACAACCTTTCCTCCGTAATGAACAGATATGTGATAGGCCACGCCCACTTCCATCAATCTTCTTGAGACACATATCTACACATGTCACTCTATAAACTTATGCTGATCTTAAAAGAGAACAAATGGAGCGTTTAAATGACATCATGTGTGGGGGTCTGCAGCCTTGCCAAGTGCACTTCAAAGAGCTTTAAAAAAAAAATGGCTGCCTTTCCAATTATTCCCAAAATAAAAGTATAAATCTGAAAATGAACAAAATATATAATATATGTCAAATATATTTGACATGAATATTTAACATTTTTAAAAGTTAAACATATAAAATGCAATGCGATACAAGGCACCAGATGAATCTAAGATGTTCATTTTCATCTACAGTATTTCTAACCACTGTTTCTAACACGCGTAACCTTTAGACACACAGAAGTCATCAAAAAGCACTCTTGCTATCTAGCAACTGATCTGCTAAATCATTTTCTTTATTCAACTACCTATATTCAGCTAAGCAGTTAGCTTCTCCTGCTATGGCTTCTTTTTCTGCCTCTCCTGCTCTGTGTGTTAGATGTTTAGTTACTTATCCTCCTTTACCGTTAATGGTACATGCATTTCATCTATTTTATCCCAGCTTTGGAGGCGAAGGATTCAGATTTAGAGTTGAGGTTCTGAACAACTGATCCACAGTCATCCTTTGCAATATGAGTTAGCCAGCCCCCTGTAGCCTTTGAGGGCAGACCTTGCCTAGCTTAAATATACCCCACTCAGAGACACACCCGCTGAGAGTGAGACTCCAGTCAGAAACGTGAAGTTAGCAAAGTCAGCTGTCATAGTGAGGTGTATCTGAGGGACAGAGTGGGAGATGTTGACTTAAAGTTGCTGACTAAAACGAATCGTTGATAAATTGTATTTCATGTCAGCACTAATGACTCCCGACTACGCCAGTTGGAAGTCACTAAGGTTAATGTGGAGTCCGTGTGTACTCTTGCTAAGACGATATTAGACTTTGTAGTGTTCTCCCTCCCTCAGCGGACCAGTGATGACATTTGTTTTAGTTTTTAAACATTGAGCTGATGTCAATCTAAATGTTACTAACCTCCTCTTGTGATGGTCTGCGGAGCCAGCGTGCTACTTGTTTCCATGGACTGGCTCTCCTGGCCAAGTTGCTCATCGGGGGGCATGTAGGCAGGGGGTGGGGTGTCAGCTGTCATATAAAGGGTGTAGTTAGAAAGGATGAAACCAGGTGTTGCTGCTAGCACACAAACACACACCACAGAACATGTCCCGGACATATGACTCACTTGTTAAGCCAAACAATGATCTATTTCTGACAGAGATGCAAAATGAGCTCATTATTGAGGCAAACAGGAAACCCCCACTTCAAGGCATTGAGGACATTTTAATGTTAATCATGCTTACTATGTTTTTCTATTTTGACAATTAAGCTTTTCTAGACAAACAATTATATATACAGTATATTCTGAAATCCTTAAATGTCATTAAAATATTTTCTGCCAACTTCCTGCAGCCACTAAGCCAACAGATATCGTCTGTAGAAAACTAAAACAGGATAGAGAAGAAATCCCCAGACACACATCATTTCAATAGATACCTACAAAGGGGTCCAAACCACTGGACAGTGGAAAACAGTTATTGCATAACTTATTATTATAATTTCACTGAATTATTCAATGTATCGCATCCAAAATTTTTAATTAAGTTTTAAGTTTCTTTAAGTTTTAATCCTGTCTTCTCTCGTAACCGAAAACTAAACTCATGTTTTGTCTGAGTTTTTATGATCACAGATCTACTTTTAGTTTGCCAATGCGTCGGCTTCTTCATGGAAAAACAGTTGTTGAATAAAATTACCTCTCATATTTTTAGTTAATCATTAAATTATTATCATCATTGTAATAAATCAAAGTTAAAATAAAATAAAAATAAAAATAAATAAATAAAATAAAATAAAGTTTATTGTATGACAACCAAATTTGCAGTTTATTGGGCATACCTGGTAGCTGGAATGGACTGGAGGGCCCCGAGCTGGCAGGAGAGTTTGGATAAGTACCGCTGCTGGCTGGCGATGGAGGGTATGGGGAGTTAGGAGAGATGGGAAAAGAACCTCCTCCACTGTTGCTGCTGCCGCCCCCACTGTGCGGCTGCGGGAAGGATTCTGGAAAGGTGGCGTTGAGTGGCATGTGTGGCTCATTGTGGGTGAGATTGCGGAATTGCACCAGCAAGCTGTGCTGAGGGTTGAACTCGCTGTGTCGTGGTACCAGGACAGGAGGGAGCACTGGGAGGGAGACACAAATGGGTGGAAAAAAAAGTTGGTTAAATTCATAAAAAAACATAGTGAGGGGGAGGAATGTTATTTTCTTTCTTCTGAAACAACTGAATATTATATGTCAGGTACTGATGTCTAACAAACACATCCTTGCCCTGAAAGCCTAGCTGACTTAACCCTTGTAAATAATGTATCATCTTCAGTTTTGATGAGGAAATGTAAGCTTCTAGACAGGCTTGGAAAAGTAGAAATGGAGGGGACAAGACTTGTAACACCACGACCATAAAGTTCTTGACTAACATTGTTATAAAATGTCTTATTATATTTTACCAAAAGGTACAAAAACAAAGATATCAAATTTAAAATTAAATAATAGAAAATGAATAAAACCCTTAAATTGGAGAAAATAAAATAGACAGATTTTGCTTCTGATCTTTTAGTTACAGCTTTATCAGATCCTCATGTTTGTTTAAGGGGGGAACAGTCAGATTGACACTGAGCTAAACATCATTACAAATATAGAAATTACAGAAATCCGTTACAACTGAGAACTTTATTCCCCGAGTACATACCTGGACTCTCCACTCGTTTGTAGTGATATGGGTTGATGCAGACCTCCTTCTGTTTGGAACCAAACGGGTACTCACACACCTCCAGAGGCTTAAGCTCATGGTGAGACTGGAGGTCAGGCCAGCGCCACACTCTGCAGTAAATAACGTGAGGCAGACCTTTTCTATGAGAAACCTGTAGTCGGCCATCCAATGATCTTGGAATAGTAACACACTTGCTGGGCTGCCCAGGGCAGCTAAGAGCCTTCTCCAAGTCCTCCATGGCTCCTTTCTTCTTCTTCAGCTTTTTCACCAGGGCATCCACAGCTTTTTCTGCCCATTTCTCCTCTTCGTCTCCTTGCTTCCAGCCAAGAAGCCGCTTCACTGCTGGGCTTGTGAAGGAGAAGAGACTGGACATGGAGGTCATGTTGCAGTCTGTATATGTTGAAGGGACCAAGGAGGCTCCACAGGTTTCCTACAAATAAGTTCAAACTAGTGTTTGAAATCAAAAACTTGTGAAAGAGAGGACCAGGGAAACTACTTGGGGTGGGGGGTGGGGAATAGGAGTCTGACAGGCTAAAAGAGATAAGGGTGGGGTAGTGGACAGAGGGCCTAATACTTGTCTGACCCAGGACAGGAAGCAGGGGAAGGATGGGACTCTGCAAGCCGGATGCAGCTTCTGCTGCTCAGGAAGGGCCCTGCAGCAAGCTGGCCCTGAGCTGGGTCACCCCCACTTATGAAGAGAGAAGGAGCAGGCCGCAGGAGCTGGATCAGGACCTCCGTCCTCTGTCAAATTGTCTTGAGCCGTTTGACAGGTTTAGAAACAATGAAGTGCTCACTTCTTAATATCAAGCCCAAGCCACTTGCTAGATTGATTTCTCCATCAATAAAGAGTCCATGTTCTACCCCACTGCGGTGTCCTGCAAAACAAAGAGAAAAAAAGAGCAGATACATTACAAGTGGGGTACCAGAACCCCCCAGGGGTCTGCGAACCATAGCTTGGGGGTCCGCGAAATAATTTACAAACAATTGTCAAAGTGTGCTATATCGTTGAAAAAGCATATCTACAGGGACCTCTTGCACCAATATAATCAGCTATTTTGTCTAATACTCCCGCCCACTTTAGTTTTGTGCCATTAGATCAATTCTGATATGATCGTGACATGTCTGTCACTTCAAAAAAACACCTCTGAGCCAACAATTTCTCAAAGTTTATAAAATGAATTACTTGGAAAGTGTAAATGTAGCCTAATTCTATTGTTGCAAAGTATAGTACATTATACATAGTATTAATACATGCTTATCAACGATACGATAATGAGGGGGTCCTTGGAATAATGTCTCACCTGAAAGGGGTCCATGGTCTAAAAAAGTTTGAGAACCCCTGCTCTAATGTTTCCAATATTTGTAAAAACATCACAATTACAATACAATATAAACATTTAGAAAAACGTTCAATTAATTATTAAGGCGTCTCGCACTTCTGCACACAATATTGGGCTGGTGTAACCAGCAATAAGGATTAAACCACTTCCAGCCAAGAATAACAAGAAAAAATCATTTCTAGTCTTGTGACTATCCAAAGCGCTTTTACACCGCTTGTCCCACCTACACGTTCACACACTGATGGCAGAGGTTGCTATGTAGAGAGATCATCAGAAGTAACTAATCCAAATCACATACATGCATATGCTGCCGCCAAAGCAGCGGGAGCAACTTGGGGTTAAATGTCTTGCTCAAGGACACATCGAACCTGCAACCTTCCGGTTGAAAGACGGCTGAATCTACCAACTGAGCCACAGCCGGCCCATATGGAACTGTTTGAAATTTGTCCTAACCGACAGGGGGCAAGAAATGTTTATTTACAGAGTTTGCATAGTTACTGTCTATACTTTTCATGGCGACCCAACGAAGCCTTTGAATGAGCCAATGAGACTGAACAGTCTGCTCAGAGTCAAACAGAGCCGTACTCAAACAGTCAGAGATAGGAGATATAATCATGTCGTTTAAACTGTTGCCACCTGAGTTTTTCTGCGCTCACCTGTTGTGACAACAGAATCGAAAATGAAACAGAAGGAGGCGATATCAGCAAGTGCGTACCTCGGATGTTGACTCAAAAGAGGAAACAGTACTGAATAATAACTAAGTGGTGCAGAAAAAGCTCAAATGGTGCTGAACATGTATTAATATGCAGAGAAAGACATTTGGGTGGTTAAAAAATAGAGATGCATTATAGATTTTTACCTAGTCTGACCTGCCAATACAGATTTTGGCCGATACCGGTTATCTGTCTTTAAAGCTCTATTATTGACAGCAAAAGCGAACCATTTTTGGAAGATGTCTTTAATTTAAATTATTTTTTTGTTAACACTGACTGTTAACGGTTACAAAAAACCCTAAAAACAAGTAACATGACCATCTCTAATTCTCACTCATATGAATCTCCACTAGAACATTTAGAGAGTCAAACCCTTTGTTACCTGAATTCTACTTCAGTTTTATGCCATAAACATGGAAGTGTATTTATGTTAAGTAAAACAAACAAACAAAAGTATTAAATGATTTTTAACACATTAACTGAATTCTCTGCATTAAATTTTCACTTGAAAGATTCAAACAGCCATTACTCTTTATCCCGAGGTTTTTGAATGTATCACAATAATGAATCAAAAGATAGAAACAGAAGTTTACTGCTTTACTCTGTTCAGCTGAATTCTCCCTGACTCCTGAAGAAATTATCACTATCATTTAAAAAATAAAAAAAAAGAAAGAGGGGGGGGGGGGGGGGCTGGAGGGTCTAATCAGTCATTCCCTTCAAAGTACTAAACCTAGCTTTAACTCAGTAGAATGCCAAATAGAGCAACAACACATTCAGCCAGTCTCAAAGATGACTGGAGTAGATCCTGAAGTAATAATTCATAAATAGTCATTGAGATCATGGATCTATGAATCCAAAATCGTTTTCAATCAAAAATCATTCTGAATCGAATCATAACCCCCAAGAATTGAAAACGAATCGTGAGACAACCAAAGATTCCCCGCCCTATTAATCTATAATATTTCAAAGTGATAGGCTGCTTCTCAAATCAGGACAAACTTTTTTAATAACTCGCTCATACACTGAGGCTTTATCATTCAAGTGTCCTTCCGTGACCAAATAATATTACAGGAATATTAATTAAATATGTTAACGTGCTCCGCTTGCCAGTCAGTCACAGGGCTGACATACAGAGATTGACAAGCAGCCACAATCACACCTACATAGGGGGGCACAATTCTTGCTAAAATGTGAATCACAATTTTTCATGAGAATTGAGATCAGGATTCTCTCACAGGATTTGTATTTTTTCAACTCTACATGAAACCTTGGCCAACTCCAACACGTTAAGTGCCTGCCTCCTTCCTGCTGGTCTACATGTTATAATTAATAATTGTGATCGCAATATTGATAAAAAGGGTTAGCCCCAGAAGCAGGGATGTTCAGTTTTGTTTCCTGACATCGGATTTCCCGCCAGCACCCACACCCCCACACAATACTAGGCATGTTGTGGTTAACCGGTTAATTGTAAAGGCTCTGTTACACAGAGTGTTTCTGTGATCAGGCTCAAAAAAGGGGGTAGAAAATGATTTTGGGCACAACCCGAAGAGAAGCAAAAAGAAAGTGACACATGGCCGCTAGTAGCTTTACTATGGTAGAGGGACACTGCAGCGATGCTTTGTGTCCCCCAAAAATGAGTGAAGTCCCCAGTGTGGGAGTATTTCAGGTACACCAAGAATGACCAGGAAGTTATTCAAGACGATGGGCTGTCTTCTGCAAAACCTGCTAGGTAAAAAGTTGCAGCTGTGTCAAACACATTTAATTTGATGCTGCATTTGCGACATTAGACCACCACATAGCACTATACTCCTAAGTAAAGGTAATACATAATAACAGTGATATCATGTTAGTTGCAATTAGTTACTTGATGAAACACTGAGTTCATCAGGAATTTTGTGTAATCATGTCACTTATAATCAACAGCGTAGAAGCAACAGTTTTGGCATCAGTGTAGAGTAAACAAACAGTAACGCTGCATGTTGTCTATGTAGGACAATAGTCCTCATCCATGTACTGTAAACACTAACTTGTAAGTTAATATATCAGGTGTTAAACACAAACATTGAGCTTTTAGACTTCAGGCACTCTACCACAGATTACATTCATAACAATGATCAATTATCAATAACACTGCATGAGAGATGTTCTCAATTTTATTTCATTTCTATTGTTTCTACTAAAACATGAAACAAACAAAAACAATCATTTATAGGATCTTCTCATGGCACATTTGAGGTCAAGGCTGATTGAATGACAGACACACTTGAACCTGCCTGCACGATGATACAGTATGCTGCACGGTAATAATTGCCAAAATCCAGTAGGACTGTGCTCAAAAATCGATATGTCAATATATTGTCATGTGCTCCTTGCAAATACATGTATTGATGCAGATTCAGGGAAAATAAGTTTTAATTGCAACCCTGTTATCACTACTGGTGAGCTGTGTGTGTGGAGGCTTGTAATCAAAACCGAGAGAGAACAGAATCACATCTGCAGCAAGCAGCTGCACATAACGTGGCAATAAAAACCACACAAGTTTGGTGTTATAACTTCAAAATACTAAATTGTAGTGCTTTCGCACACAGAAATCTCCAGAAAAAGTCAAGCTATTTCCCGGAGGAGCTCTATATGTGAAGACAAACAGCTGAATTTTTCGCTCAGACTTCAGAGTTTCTCCTGCCAGATCCCTAGTATTTTTCCGAAGCAAGTCTGAGTGGGCTGATGTGAGAACGCAGCAGGATATTTTTTCGGAGAATTCACCTTGGGGGAGTGACGTTTCTATAAAGTTACTGCTGCAAGGTGCATAGTGTGTCTGCACGCAAACACTACGATCTTCGTGCACGTAATTAAACGGCTGCATTACGTTTTCTGTTCGCCACTAAGTTGTTCTCCGCTCTTTTTTTTTTTTTATGTTGTCATTCCGTTGAACTACACATAACAATGAAATAAAGGCAATCATTGTCATTCTAGCATCATGTAGCGGACTCTGTTGCTTCGTCCGCTACTTCAGCGTTGTTATTTAACGTCACGTCTTATCTCAGGAGAACCCCGCCCGTCTGACAGGGATAGTCTCCAGCTGTGAGGTGTACAGTATATGCGAGAACAGCCAGGTTGGGAGAATCTCTGGAGCAGTCCTCCTGAAATTATCTAAATATTTTCCGGAGCGCATATGTGAAAACGGCTATAGACGTCTCTCTTTTTCTTTCACAATCTGGTCCCCTGCAGAGTATATAGAGGGGTACAAAATGAGGGAGATCGATCAGTAGGGATGGGTATAGTAATGATTTTATTGAAAGCAGTAGCGGTATTGGTAATACTTATCGATACATCAGGGTGTGGTGTATTAATTTAATAATAGGATATCAAGACACATTGCTCTCTCACGGGCCAAGAAAGAGCGAGAGGCGTGTATAGGCGCATGTTGACAGTGAAGCAGACGCGACATAAAAACAGTAAGTTAATCTTGTGCCTGATTTAAAGTTGTAGTTTTAATCTTAAAAAAATGTTTGCAAAATACTTACCAGTTTAACCACTTATATTCCTGTATAATGTTTTTAAATGTACAAAAGTTGTGCTGATAAGTTTCTTAAATGTTTTTAAATGTCTTTGTTGGGGGTCTGGATATCTCCCTCTGAACAATTTTAAAGCACGAGAAATGTTTTCTCTACATTCTGATAAATTTTTATGCACAGTGAGCATTTTCTGCACCACTTTAAAATGATTTAGTAATGTGTCCTTTTTTGTATCTTTAAATCTATTTTAGTGTTCATCAGGCACCTTTTTATACAGTGATGCATTCATTTAAAAACATGTAGACTTCAAACGTAATACAGAATGTGATTATGAGAGCTGCTGACTGACATCACTTCAAGCAGCAATAATGGAAATCAATGAATAGAAATAAATTATTGTAGGCCTACTCGTTCAAACATTTTTTTAACTCATGAGGTCCGGACCTCGCTAATATGATCGCCTCTGGGGGTGCACAGACAGATCCCCATGTGACCGGAACCTGCAGGTTTTCAGCCTGCTTGGCCCTGATCAGTGACTGGCCGGTCCACATAAGTAAAGTCAATTCGGTGGCAATCAGACTCACATAAGCCATTTCATGCCCTGCGCAGCGACACAAAAACTATTGGATGGCCACACACACAACATGTAGGCAGTGAAGACGTAAGGTGCACATCAGCAGAGAAGAAAATGGTTCGACAAACAGGAGGAGAAACTCTCTGCCCATGGCAGATCCGCTCGTGTGTGCTGCCCGTGTGTGTGTGCTCCCGCTGTGTGTATATATCTCCCTTGCAGACGTATGCAATTAATATTCCTGTTATATTATTTGACAATGGAGGGACACTTGAATGATGAAACCCCAGAGTATCAGCACGTAATTAAAAAGTCTGACCTGATGTGAGAAGTATCACCTAAACGCTGCAAATTGAAAATCAAGTGCAAACTCCTAAAACAAATGCAACGGCTGAAACACGCTGCAAAAGAAACAAGCCTGCTGCAAAAAAGGTAAAAAAAAATAAATGCATTAACATCTACTGCGCTGTGGATACAGAAATAAAACAAGTCAAAAACATAAATATTCAGAAAATAACTGCAAATACAGAAACACCGGAAGTTCAGCCTTCACAAAGGAAGTGCTCCAGGCCTGTAGGGGCGCTCTGTGGAACTGTTTATGTTTAGATAGGGAAGTTGTGTCGTTGCAAGACACAGAATAACATCAATATTAAAAACCCAGAGATTAAAGCGAGACTGGCTTGGATTTTGAAATTGGGGTCGAGACAGACGAGAGGGAGTTCTGTTACTCGGGATGCCTGGAGCTAGTGCTAACTCTGGGGCAAATGAGCTCCGACTCCAACTCATCCCTTTGCAGCCGCTTTCACAGCCTGACACATCGTGCTTTCGACATACCAAGAGTAAGACTCCTGGTTAAACTCAATGCTCATCTCTTTGCTACAGTTTAACATAACTTCCCTGTCATCAAACAAGGACACTTCCGTGTTTCCCCTAGGTTGCAGTTGTAGCAGTGGTAGTGAAGTGGAATAATGTTTTAGTAACTATTTACATTTATTGGACAACATAATTAACCAACAACCACCCTATTGTCATAACCCAGGAAGTGAGTAATGGCAAAAAGACGAAAAGAGTCATTTCCCAAAGAAAATGAATCATTTATTTCACAACTCATTTTTTTTTTTTTAAATCAGCAGCTGTGGCCATATTTCAGCAGCGGTGCACCACCACTGCTAGATGCATATAGAGGAAACACTGCACTTTACCCAAGGAGAAACCCCATTCCCTGGGCCTGTTAAGTTCAAAATCCTGGTGGTCTGAAGTCCCGTACTCATGCCGGGCAACAGTACTGGTAGCCGGGCAGCTAACTTAACAGAGCTACTTGTCAACAAAACCTAATTTTTCGAAGTCGGACAGAATGGCAGACGCAAAACAAAAACTGGACATTTAATCGTGAAATCTTGTGCTGCTTTGTGTTACTCTCAGGTCATCAGAGATGTTTATGAAAGACTGGAGTCTCTTAACAGAGACAAACAGTGCCAGTTGTCTCATGTGAATGAGTCCTTCACAGGCTGAACGTGCATTTGTAAATCAATGTCTTATATTTTAATTTATTTTTTAGGTAGAGGCAACCCATGTCTGCCTACTCTCTACTCTGCAGATTTTGTTTTTACTTTTGACGATGATACAGTGCCGCCACACACCAGCATAATGCAGTAATTGCAGCTGTACATAACAAATTCACCAAACGTTGTCCTCAGAAAAACATGTTCTCAGTGACAGTATGGGTCATATTGGCCAAAGCTCTGGCGGTACAAAATCTGATAGAAACAAAATCCTTTTTCAACAAGAGGTTTTTCTATTCACAATACATTGTTCTGTATTGGAATGATGAGGTGCGTCCCTCAGATGCATGGAAACTGAGCTGATGGTGTCCTCTTAGTTTTGGGCTGGGCAATATCGATATTTTAGAAGGAAATATACGGTAAGACAATATTTTTTTTGTTTTTTCAGACAATATTGTTTAAATTGTAGAGTAGAGTTCAAATTATGTTAAACGTTTCTTGAATACAGCCGCCTGCTTGGACTTCTCTCTTCACCCTGCTCCACCTCTCTCTCCCTCTCAGCAAAAAAACAAAACTGTGTGTATCTTGTTATGCAAGAAAGGAACATTGATTATATTTAAGGAGCATCTTATTTTTTTTAATTTCACCAAGGGTGTTTTTGTTGTCATATTTCATGTACATGTTAACAATTGACAACAGGAAGGCTGTTAATAAAAGTGCCACTTGGACATTTAAAATGTGGCCCATGTGGAGTTGACTCTTTACAGAAAAAATAGAGATATATTGTTTATCAATATTCAGCTAGAAATATTGAGATATGGTTTTAGGTCTATATAACCTAGCCCTAATTTTAATGCATCAGAAACTCAGGATGCAAACCAGACGACCCACATCCCCCCAATCAACCGTAACAGTACTGCAATTACATTGTTCTAGATGCAAACTAAAGCAGAGGTTAACCTCTTAAAGTAGAACATGTGCATATTAAAGGTCCCATATCATGCTTTTTCTGGTTTTACATGCTCTTTAGTGTGTTTTCCAAGTGTCCTGTGCATGTTTAGGCACATCTATGTGCAAAAATTCAAAGTCCACGGAATCTCCTACATTCTCCGGTTAGCTGTAGCATTAGCTGCATGTAACGCTCGGTTCTAGCCCCCCTCGAAAAAAATTTGCCAGTGTGACGTCTTGTCAGTGTGAGATCACTGATCTAAGCCCATTGGCTCGTTGTGGCAAGCCCTGCAGCTCATGTTATACGCCCGTTAACTTCTGTAGCACAGTAGTGCTAAGGTGCTAATGTTTTTGCTCCACTCAGAGCCAAAGTGGCTGCATTCCCAATATGGTAAAAGGGGCGTGACATTTCCGAGAACCGTGCTGAGTGACTGACCAATTACGGCAGAGCCGACAGGCCGACCAATCAGATCAGACTTGGCACACGTGAGGACTCTGAACGTGGGCACTTCAGAGCCTTAGAGAGAGAATCAGAAGCGAGCCGGTGCATGGAGCAGCAGTTCATGAAAACAGACACTTTCTTTATAACTTTAGCTATTGTGAACATACTTTAGTAGATACATAGATTAAATATACGAACCCCAAAAAGGGCATAATATGACCTCTTTAAGGACACACTCACACTAGGCAAAGTTGTCCCGTACCCACATCGGAGAACAACAAAGAACATGACAGCTACTTTATTGACACGATAAAGGCTGTCCACGTTGTGAATCATGCTTGTACATGAGGCATACCGTGCTGAAGCACACCTCTTCCAAGCGTGCCAGGGCCAAGGCAGTGTACCGTGCTTGGGCATGGATCGGAGCAATCTCACACTATAGTCAGACTAACTGGACTTTAGGGATGAAGCGTGCTTAGGGTTGCCTAGTGTGAGTGCACTGTGCAAAGTAAGAAAACTTCCACCCTTAAACAGTTCCTTTTTCTGACATTCACCAGACAATCCTCAAGCAGCTTTTTATTCATCCCCAGATATGTCAATGCCGTTGTTGCTCTACATCAGCAGTCATTTAAGAGTTTATGGTAGAGGGGCAAGTACAGCAAAGAATAAATGTAATATTCAAAGACAGGGATGGAGAGGAGACATACCGTTTCATGAACTTAATATTTGATACATTACACTTTCCAGGATTAACCACGGCAACAGTCAATGTAAAGTCATTTTACCATTTAAACGAGTGTTTGGCCCTTATGACACAAGGTAATCATTTTCTCAAACTGATATCCATCACACTTGTGCCTCATTTTGCTTTCACCATCAGCTGCTAACAAATAAATCAACACTTTCTGAACATACATTTTAAATATCTCTCTTTTATGTTCAGTAAATGTTGATTTATGTTGAATTGAAGCCTCTGTTACTGAATATTACTGTCCACATGAGCTCTTACATCCTGAGCAGTGTCGTTGAATAATATTACCACACACTATTTTAAAAGATCAGGAGATTAAATGTAGGCCCCAATGAACACTGATCTCTTCACACTCATCAGAAGGCCATTCCTAAAAACATGAAAAATAACCCGAATGTGTGAACTACAAATATCCATAAAGATGTCATTATTCCTGGAGTTAAAGAAGACGAATATCACACATACTGACACAGGACGGCCCACACATCATAGATATCTCTGCTGTGTGAAACAAGTATAAAGTATAAAGTACAGGAGACAGACGAAGCCCCCCCCCCCTCCACCCACAAGACAGAAAAGACTCATCCAATGGTTTACAAATACCAAAACAGTTGTATGTAAAAGTAACTAACTCGTCAATATGAAGTGGGTCACACAAACACGTACAATAAACAATAAACCTCACTGCGGAGGCTTTCGCTTATCCTGGTATGTAGCTAATGTAAGCAACCTGGAGAATTTGCTAACTAGCTAAGCTAACATCAGAACTCAACTCGGTTCGTTTGAACTTACAGGGAGATACATAAGAAACACAAACACTGCATTTGTGAAGGTATAGAGTTACGGGTGCCTTCTTCTAGTTGTAGTTTTACATGCTTTACACTTTCAGCACACGTCGCTTTATTCTTACTCCTCTTCCTCCTTTCCAGAAACTTTTTTTAACTTCTCACATCTAAGGCTAAGCTAATGCTAGCTGTTAGCCCAGTCCTCCGAGGGAAAGTTATCCTGTGTCCTGCGCACCCTGCCATCGTAGCTAACTAGACTACTTTTCAGTGTTGTAAGTGTACGGCGTTTGTCACATACCCTTTATCAATGCACGCACCTCTTTGACTTGATTTCTTTCGATGTTCAATGATAGGTTCTGCTTTCTCAAAGATTTTCTATCGTTCTCCAGCAGAGCTTCCCTCCGTCTCCCCCTGCCATATCCTCCAGCTCCTGGACACAAGTAGTTCGGTGGGGCGTAATGTAGATCACTCCGCCATCCTGACAAACTAGTACTTACTTTTACGGTGAAGTTAGGAAGAATTTCAAGACGTATTACTTGAAACGTGCTATTGTAACATAAGTCACAACAACTTTCTTACATTACTGCTTTTGTAAACATGAACTCAGTGGCTCACTTTTCAAATTATTAATTGGCTCCGCCTGCGACTAGATAATGTGTGTAATGTCCTAAATGCACACACGCTTTCCTCCTTGTAGTCCGTGGGTCAGAGCCGTAATATTTACAGTCTATGGTCAGAGCCCAAAATTCATTTGTACTACTGAAGGTGGCAAAACTTAGTAATAATTTATAAAAATGTCATCGTCTGAAGATTATATTTTGGTATTAGAAATATTCCTGAGTGGCAGCTGTGTCGCAGTATAACCAGCTTTCAAAGTCAACCACCCCTAAATTAAAATGCATTTTAGACGCTGGTGTATATCCTGGTTTAGCCTACGCTCACGGTCAGCACATTTTTCAAACTTGTATAATTTCGTGTTATCATTTTAAACAGAGACCTTTCATTCAAGACCAATTGTGAATCTTTCTGCAAAATATTGAGGTAACTGGATCGTCAAATAGTCAATTAGGGTGGATTAGGATAATGTAGGACATTTTTTGAAATTTCAATTTGTGTCACATATTTTCATATTAAGAGAACACATAATATCAGTAACAATGTCTATATAGAAATCTCCAAGATGTCTCCTCATACAATTAGAAGAAAAATTACCGAGATTGTGCTCATAGGTAAAATGGCACACATATTAATGTTTTCTGTGCCAAATGTTTTCAGAATTTGTTGGATTGTCTAATCTGGGACAGTGGTGTCTGAAATCTGGGACAGTGGTGTCTGAAATCTGGGACAGCAGTTTTAAGGCTTAAAAATACTTTGATTCATACAAAGCAGGCTTATTTGGAAAAACACTCATGGTAAAATGTGCACACACATGAATTAGACCAACAATGTTTGTCAGATAAGATACACAAACCAGGGGCATCAAACTACATGTAAACCATGTACAGTGTACAAAGGAAATATATTTTACGATATTTTAAAATATTTAATTTATTCATTTTTTCAATAAAGATAAATAATTACAAAGCATTTCATTAAAAAGGCAACATCAAAGACTGCAATATGTTTTTTTTTTAAAGAGACATGCATAAATACAAGGCCTTAACATGTAACTTCTTAAACAAACATCTAGAATCTGGATTAAGAAAACATGTAACAATAAAGACATGTCAATAATAAAACTAGAACAATAACTATTTTAATAGACTACCTATGCCTGTAAGTGGATGTAGACCTTGACCATCACCAGATTAGGCCTACCCAAAGACAAATTTTCTAGTGAGCATTTTTCTACACCATGCCTTGTAACAACAAAACTCGATACACAACAAAGTCACAAATGCAGAGTACTGTCATGTTTTGACCAGTAAGAAAAGTTTCACTACAATTGACAATTGACTAAAACTCATGTACAAAAATCAGCCTTTAACAACTGATAACATTGATTGTGATAACAGGTCTTCCTTATTGGCCAGCCCTATATTAAAAATAAGCAGTCCTCAGGGACTCATCATCATCGGAACCACTGACTGCAGATCGAGCAGGAGAGCCACTCCTCTGTGCACTTGGGGTCATCCTTGTCGCCATATGCATATCTGTATCTGCAGATGTTGCATGGATCCATGTTTTGTGTAGTTGATTTTTTTGTTTTTTCTGTACTTTCCCCATGTCTTTTCCATTTTTCCCCTGAAACAAACTGGAAATGTTCCTTGCTGGTTAAATCCCAAGTTGAAGGCTTTGACCTCTTCCGGCTGGTGGTGGGTCGCTCTCTCACTGCAATGTAAGACTTCTGAATGACACCGTTTCTGGCTGAATCTCCACCTCAATCTCTTGTGCCAGAGGTGATGGGGTGACGATGCAGGAGGACAGAGTGTGTGTGTGTGTGTGTGTGTGTGTGTGTGTGTGTGTGTGTGTGTGTGTACGTGTGTGTGTGTGTACGTGTGTGTGTGTGTGTGTGTGTGTGTGTGGGGGGGGGGGGTTGATTGATGAGGAGTGGTGGTATTACTTGCTGCCCGGCATCATGCAATGGATGGGGGGAGGTTTGCACCACGATTGGCCTTGAGATGCTGATAGGTTGGATGTGCACAGAGCAGTACATCTTCCTCTGGGAGCTCTGTGGTTTGCTTGAAGGGTTGCTCAGTAGTTTCAAATGGAGCAAACAATCTTGCCTTGATCTGAGCTAGGTTAAAAGGAAAGATGCCAGAGCCTCAGAAGCCAGGCTGGGTATTTGATGGTGTTGCTGAATTGGCCTAGGCTTTGGAGAACAGTGGCCTGAACAATGCCCTGTCCAGTCTTCTTCCACCACTTTCCCTTGTGACGATCCTCCCCTCTTGCCTCCAGGGATGTTTAAGGCTCCTGTCAGCTGGCTGCAGGTAATGAGTGGGATGGGATGGCGGGCTCAAAACAGCGAAATCGTTGTCTTTCATCAGCTTAAGAAAGTTCACGTGAGAGCTGTGTACATCCAGCAGCAGTAAATGGGGTTGTGGGTCATCTCTTGGGAGATGCATCACAAACCTTTTTCCCCACTCCAGGAAAAGGTTACTGTTGATCCACCCATTATCAGACATACATATCACTGGTGTGTTTGGTTTTTGCTCTCATTGAATGACATATAAATAGAAAATAAACAGTTATGAACATGGTCGACAATGAATAAATATTGACTATGTAAGTGCTAACTTTACCCTCAATATATTTTATTATTGTACATGTTACAAAACTTAAATTAATTGCCCAAGCTTTGATTTGTTTGAAGTAAACCGTCCTGTTTTTTGCGCTCATCTTACTGGAACATAGCGACACATGAAAAAGAGATAGAGAGAGGGGGAGAAGTTGGCTGCACCACTAGCCTGTAGACATCAGTATAGTCTTAACAACAATAAGGTACTGAGTGCCTGACATACTGATTTGCATTAACAACGTGCATAGCATAGCATGCACGCTGGTCGTCTAATCCGACCAGCGTGTCATTTGTCAAAAGGTGCCATCACACCTGCATCTATTTGGGACTTGGGTTTTGATTTGAGTTTTATAGATGTTTAATTGAATGAACATAATTGAGGGTGATTTTGAGCTTCATCAATGTTAGTTTTACTTTAACTCGGTGATTCTGTGTTCCTCTGAATGTGGAACAAAAGCGCTGAGAGAATAATTAAGGTTTTGCATCAAATTAATGTTGATTTCTGACTGTTTATTGCGAATGAAAACTGGAGGAATATGGCCTCCAGTGAACAAGCAAGTAACAGCCAACGGTCATAGCAACAAGGGATGGAGTGCGTCATCCACTAACTCTTGATCGTCGGTGTGGTCGGTCAGCTGCTTTGGAACACCCTGACTCAAGCTAGTAGCCAGGGGGTGTTCAGTGGATACGAAAGAACACCCCCCCCCCCCCCCCCCCCACACACTTTTTGTTTTAAACAAATAAATAAATGTGTCCCCCTTTTAAATAATTCTAAACCAAGTCATGGAAACCAAACAGAAGCCCTTATCTTGTAAATGCACCATTTTTGTGATTCTCCTTCCACTAATGATTCTGTTGAGAATGTTAAGAACTCATGTGTGTCCCCTTCAATAGGCTGGCTGCAGGCCTGGGACTGCAAGTGCTACAACTATTAATATCAACATAACATCTTTTAACATCTTTATAAATGTTAATGTGTTCTAACGGCTTCTCTATGGAAGCGACTGGTGATCAGAATTCAAATTAAAAATCAAATTTTAAATTAAAACGCAATTCAAAATTAAAGATTCTAAATTTGAATCATCTGGAAGCGAGCGGCATAGTAACTTTATTTTGATGTAAAACACAGCTGTCAAAAAGAGCTTCAGCCAGAGTATCACAAATGCAACGCAACTATCTAAATTTCTGCCTCCAGTTCAGACCTGCCCCACAGAACACGACATCTCTGTGTACAAACACAAACATGGTCTAAATAAGACTAGAGTACTCATTTGTTTGAACAGTCTCATCTTTAAACAAGTAAAAACCTTTAGTTAATGTGTGGTCTGATGACATATCTTTGATTCAAACACTTATAAGAAATAAGAAAGAATAAGAAAAACAGCAGTTGTCTTCTGCTCCACTGTCAGGGATCAAAACATCATGACATACAACAGATCATATGGAATCATATACAGTAATATTGAATTTATTATAGAAACATGACAAAGTTATGGCAACAGTCATCTCTGCCTGTTTAATGTTCTCCTTTCACCCAAACTGAAACAGACAATCACCCCAAGCTAATGTTATTACAACCAGAGAATAAGTGAATCACATTTTAATTTCAAAAGTTCTGTCTTAATAGTCACTTGTTTCACGTCAGAGAAAATCAAATGTATTAAAATTCTTTAAATTCCTCTCTATGACATCAAATGCCAGCAAAGATTAAGTCTCTTTTTTGAGGTATGAACATTTAGGGATTTGAGGCTTGTCCCCTACTACTACAATTCAATAATGTCGAACTGAAATATCTGCAGTTAGTCCCTCGTATTTCAGAGAAATTAAACACTCTAGAAGTAGTGACTAACACTTAAAGATATGGTGTTCTGAAGCTGACAATCTTTGAACATGCCATCCATGGCCTGCTCATTCTCACGGCATAATTCAATTTATTTAGTCTTTGCATTCATCCATTGTCTATACAACTTATCCCATTCTGGGTCACGGGGGGCTGGAGCCAATCCTAGTTGTCACTGGGCGAGAGACCCTGAACAAGTCACCAGTCAATCACAGCGCGGACACATGGACACAAATGTCCATTTACAGACATTAGTTAGCCAGCAATTAGCTAACGAGCAAATCTTTGGACTATGGGAGGAAGCTGGAGTAGCTGGAGGGAACCCACACATGCGAAGGGAGAACATGCTAACGCCACACAGAAAGGCCCTGTCAGGCCTGGGATTCAAACAAAGAGCCTTATGGCTGTTAGGCAACAGTGCTAACCACTGCATCACAGTTCAGCCCATATAAAGACATGCTGTCCTTAATATTTTAAAATGTTTGT